GGCTTTTTGGCACTTCCATAAATGATTGAGAAGAAAATAAAAGAAAATGGTGAATATTTTTGTATTTTAGTTTGCTACTTTTTCAACGCAAAATGAAAGCGGTCTAGATGCCGGTCTAGATGCGAAAATCTAGACCGCGGTCAATATCGATTTCAGCCAATCAAATTCGTGAATTCGGTAGTTCCCAGTCCTTGTGAAACACAGCCATATAATAATATTATATATTACCCTTTTCAACGTAAGAGGAAAATAAGTTGTTAATATTAAGCATTTGTCTCCTGAGCATACACATATTCAAAACCCATACACATATTCAAAAGTATTAATTGACAGCGTCTACAATAGATTTAATGGATTTCTCATGTTTGCGCTTGTGTAGGAGTCTACGTAAAGCCTTTCTACAGGGAAAATTATAGTTAAAAAATCTTCGTTCTAAATGACATCATCGGCACCGTTTTGGATGACATTAACGAAAGTTATGTAATAATCTTCCATCTACTTTTGTTAATGTCATCCAGCATGGCAGTCACGCTTGAAATCTCTTGGGATTGGTTATAAACTGACCATCAAAAGAGGGAGGAGGGCGAAAGATGGTTCTGCTGTTATTGTTTCCTATATCTGTCTTCTATCTCCAACTCACTCACTAGTATGCCATCCAGGGGGAAGTAGAAATACTCCTAGTCGCTTTATGCTACAGAAACCAGGATAAGCGCCGGCCTGATGGACCACCCATTGGCTCGTAAGCAGACTTTACCTTACCTTCCCCTCCCCAAATATTTAATGTATTGTGAACTGCTAGTTTAATTTCTTCTCGCCTGAATTTTCCCAGGGGTTGTTTTCATTCATCCAAATGTAAAGAAAACGAAAGATGACGGACAGCTTTCCAAAGTGGCGTGAAGACTCGCTCGTCCCTATATGGCATTGAAAACTCGGATACAAAGACGATATCAGACTCTTGAATGAGATCACTTGGTCACAGTATTTTGAGTTATTTTGGCCACGTACAAAATTACCTTTAAATTGAAAGAAAACCTGAAAATAGTAGTTTACTAAGATAGAAAAACACCAAAGAGATAATAATAAACCATGAAGGAACAAGGATGGTTAAGGATGGAGAATATTAACACGGATTGCAATCGTCGAACTTGAAAAATTTAAGCTAAACTTCTCAAGATGCGCAAGCCGTGACGTACCCCCTTTTAACATGTAACAATCGAAACGTTTTTACCAAACAGCCGCGCGTTCTACTTCGAGGTCACATGACATCTAACAATAAAGTTATTTCCCGCCAAAAGTCTCCTAGCGGACAACGTTACAAAATCTACGAAATTAGAGAGTTACAGCGTACTGTTACTTGCGAATCAAAGACCGCCGTTGTACGTGAATTCTTCCAATGTCTTCGTTGTGCTATGTAAAACTGATCGCTTTATGACTGATCCCTCGATCGGGAAACCAGTTAATTTTGTTTCCCTTGAATTTCAATGTTTCTTAGGATCCTCCTTGCAAAGCATAGAGATTCCAGAGAAACAAAGTAAACTTTTTTCCTCAGGAACAGCTAGTCATTAAGAGTTCAATATTGCATGTATGTGAATCATCAAATGTTACTTTGTTTGCACCTAAAAGGTACGCTTATAAGTTTATTATTCCATAACGTTATACTTACCTGTGTCTTGGCCAACTCAACGGCAAGATCTTGAACAGAAGAAGCAGCGCGCTTGGTTCGTGAGGCACTTACCGAGGAAGTGCTGAGCACTTCAATGGACTGAAATTAATATATTCAGTTAGTTACAATTCATGAGGTCATCAAAACTATGCACAAAAAACTAAGTAGACAATTTAACAGCCGCAAAGAGAGCAAAAAGAGAATGAAGTGAGTTTTATAAATAAGTTTGGTTTCTAGCTGAGCTTAACTGAGTTTTAGAGGAAGGACTGATGGGCATTTGTTCTAAATTGCTTGATTATATAACAAGGCATACAATCAAGCCTACTGAGGGTAACTGCAAATCAGAAATCTTTTTCGAAAGCAAACACGCTCATCTTTGTGTTTTGGAGAACCTTTTCCTCTTAATGATTTTCGCAATATTTGATTTGCTCCCTCGAAACGTTTCTTCCAATCTCCCGTTAAGTAATGACGACGACAACGCTAAGGA